CACAAATTTTCCAACTGTGTACACTACAATGCCATCCGCGGTTTTCCCCTCGTTCCCGGTCGAGGGGGAAACCGCTGACCGAAATCTTGTACACCAATGCCCACTAATGCCCAGTGGGCATTACTTTATCTTATTTTATCCTACTTTATATAATTTTATCTTTATAATGCCCCAGCAAGACCTAATGCCCAAAATAATGCCCAAGAAATACTTAGTAATGCCCAGTAATGTCCAGTAATGCCGCAAATCTGTACACCACAATGTCCTCAGGCGGTTTACCCCTCGTTCCCGGTATTAATGATCGATAGCCGCGTAATAAGGTGCTCTATCTCGTAACAATGTGACTTGCACTATTATTGCAGTATGTGTATATTACATCGCGTCTAATTTCCGCGCTGAAACGCGGCAGATAATTTACGGCACAACTTTAAAGCAATTGCACCACGTGTGTAACATCATTGTCACTTTATCTTTCCGAGTCGCGATGTAATACGCTGCGACATGGTTCTCGTGTACCTTTCATAATCAGCTCAGCCGTATATCAGTTAATCGGCTTGAGCGTCGCTGTGTTTTTGCCATAAACTACTATAGTTTCCAAGTGAAATATACCCTCTCTCAATATCCGTCAAATTTATGAAAGCATAAAGATTTATGTTAAATAGTAATATTGTTAATATCCTTTGGAGTTAATTCGAAAGAATATTGTAATCAGGATTACAAAATAACCATTTTAGACCTTTCAGAATTGTTATATTTATCAGATATTTTATATCGATTAATTTTTTTAGCGAATCCGGGCAAAATTCGGGCCATCAAATAATTTGAACAAAGCGCAGAAATTCTTGGCAAATTGAGTAATTATAACTTGTGGGTTGCTCATATTTAACTTTTCACCCGTTTCAATGGGATTTTGAAAATAAACGCGGGCACTCGATTAAAATGTTAATCAACTAAAAGGTTTTCGATAAACGTAAAAAGAGTTATATGCATAAAAGAACACGAATATATAATAAAAAATATTTTCGGTCACGTTACGTCTATTAAGCGAACGTCAGTTATTTATCGGAAACCTCTATTAATTTTGTAAATCCTTACTCATACAGTTTATCTGTCTATCATGGTCTGTCAATAATTTCATATTCCGTATCGGGAATGCACTGCAACACTGTTGCTCGCGCAACACAAAAGGAATAAACATGCATTCTTGTATCATGTTCATGTCGTTTATCGTGTATGAAGGGGATGAGCTATATTTACAATATGTAATGTCGAACGGACAGCACCGTTGTTGCAGCCTTTGGTATACAAAACGGAAAACATCAACGTTGACGATTCGGGGGGAGGGGAAAAGTCTAAAGTCGTGCCAGGTACAAAAGCGATCAGTCACGGTCGTCGTGGCGGCCGCTAGTTTTCTTTCAGTACGCTGAAGCGTGCGCGGCCAACGCGGCGTACTCGTGAAGGTGGGTCTCCGCGTCGTGTCCTTGACCGCCGTACACCCCGCCCGAATGATCGTTCTTTCCGGAAGTGTGTACCACCGCGTGAAATCCCTCCTTGTCCGCGTGGTAGCTGACGATCCGTAGGCTGCCACCTGGATCCTTCACGGTATATTCCCCAGACACGCTGTGTCCTACAGAAGGGAATATTCGATGAGAGGCAAAGAGGAGTTTTTCGGCGCATCGCGAGATTGTCGACAGCCGCCCTGTGAGAACATTAAAGTCGAATCGACGTCAATGGGGTCGAAGTCGTCAGTTCTCGATAGTAATTAAAAGTTTTGGAATTTTATTTCTCGCATTAAACGAGTTAACTTGGCAGTTCTCTTCAATAAGATGTTAAAAGTATTCAGAACATTGGACGTAGTAATTTACTACAAAGAATAAAGTTCCAGGACTTAATTATTTTCGAAAACTGACGGTTGCGACGCGGTTTCAGCCCCATCTACGTCGATTCGACGTTAGTGTTCTCACTGGGCATATACATATGGGAATAACGAAACGTCAGATTGAATAAGTCGCTGATAATGCCATCAACCATTTTATGGATGAATCTTATCTCGCAAAGAACTTTTCTCGTGTCTAAAATATTCTAGAATTATTGGGTTGCTCTAATTCCAGAATTGAGCAATTTATTAATATTACCCCTATTGATTTTTGCTATGTCCTCTCTTTTCCAATTAATGTTCGCGACAACGAAATATCGAATTTATTTACAAAATGTTTCGATAGAATCGTAACGTTTAGTTATCTCGATACTATACAGGGTGTTTCAGGGTAAAGTGTCCTAACTTAAAATATGAACTTAGGACCTCAAAACAAGAAAAAACTTTCCTCTGGAGACATGTCCGTAAACGCTTTGTTT